GCTCGGTCGAGAGCATATCTGCCCGATAGGTCGAGTGTCGAACTCATTTGTTACTTAGTGGTAGACGTGGGGAATTCATGATCCCAAGAACATTTAACTACTATATAAAGGGTAAATTCCTCAAGGGGAAGGTAAGTCTTCATTAATAATTGACCACAACATTTATTACGCAATTCTCTCTAAACAATCCGAGATCCTAACTTGGGCGTCGGAGGGCTTGCGTCGGAGAAATTCTGGCACGCTTTTAGGTACCGGAGAACACTCAAACTCGAACCAGACCGAATCAAGTGAACCAACGTCATAACCGGGAGAACCTTCCGCAAGACGGAGTCACCGATCTCGGACCATATCACCTAGCACACCCAATGAGTTGAATGACAGAACAAAAGAAAAGAAAAGTGCAGTTAAAGGCCAAGCCCGCAGCTTTCCAATACGGGCCGAGCAGCCCGTCCAGCACCTCAAACCACTGCAATAATTCAAACATTCAAAAAAAATACATAAATAAACATAATCTTAAATTGTATTCTTGATTTTTCCAAAAGAGAAAAAAAAAGAATCATACCTGAATAACATGATTCTTGAAGCTAACACCTTCTTTCTCCTTTCTGCTCCGATATTCGACATACAGAACACTTATAAGATACGTCGTCCAGCTGCCCATTAGCGCGTAAAATATCTGGAAAACGACGCCGGAAAGCATGCCCAGTTGCGAGAAAGAGTAGGGCATGGTGAGAAGAACTTGGGCCACCTGTTAATGGCGAGCAAAAAATGTTAAAATCGAATCTTGATGGGCCGTAAGCAAATAAAAATCGAATCTTGATTGATGGGCCGTAATGAAGAAAGCTAATGTGTCATGACCTTGGCCGAGATTGAAGGAAACATGAGTAAAGCAGATGAACGGGAGGGCTATGGTGAAGAAGAGAAAATTTGGGAAAGTGAAGAGAAAGGGATTTGGAAGAGCGATCGAGTTCTGTCTGAGTTTGACAATAAGATACCCGAGGCGACGCGTGGTGTGATCGAGACCCTTGATGTCGATATATAAAATGGTGATCAGGCGATCCACGTGGCAGCTCAAGAAGAAGTTAGATTTTGATATTAAATTGTAGGGCCTTTATGTTTAATTTCCATTTTCTCTTTTTTGTCATTTTTGGTTAGTTGAAAATGTATGGTTTGTTATGGTGGGCCCAACTCTTTGGGATTTACTTATTGGGGAAATGCAAGTGAAAATGCATACGGTTATGCAAATTGATTCTCTTTCTCTCTCATCTCTCTCTCTCTCTCTAAATCTTCATCTTCCTCACTATCTCTTTCAATCTTTCTTATACAAATTCCATAAAATCAAGTTATAGAAATCATTCAACAATTATTAAAATTATAAAAAACAATCGGATCACTACATTTGGTATCCAGAGCAACCTTTCCTTGGCCATGGCTGATGGAACTAGGCTAAAAGAGCTGCAAGAGGCACAAACAAAGATAGATCAATTGGTGCAAACAGAGGCTGTAAAAAGGGAAGCATCAGAAATCAAGCTTCATGGAAAAATAGAGGGAATCAGTGCTGAAATGAAAGAGGTTGTTGAGGGCATAAACTTGGAATTAAAGGAGCAAAAAGAAGATGTCAACAGCAAGTTAGAGCACCTCACTAACACTATGGCAGCTATTCAGCTGCAGCTGTTAAACAAAAACAGGGACAAGGCCAGTGATGAGGAAGACTCCATTTTAGGAGACCGCCGCAAGTTCTTCAGTAGTGAAAATGCATAGAACACCTACACCAAATTTATCAAAGGAAGTTTCGGCAAAGATCAAACAACATCTCAGCCTAACCAACAATTTAACAGCCCTCTTCTTAGGATTGATTTTTGCCAGATTTGATGGAACAAACCCTAGGGCATGGATCCTCAAATGCAATAGTTATTTCAAGTTAGTACCTAATGTTTCAGATACCCAAAAGGTCACATTAGCTTCTATGCACTTAGAAGGGAAGGCTGCCCTATGGTTTCAGAATCTCAGCGCCAAGCAACTGGAATGCGAATGGCCTCAGTTTGTGGAGATAATTTCAGCAAGGTTTGAAGAACTCAAAGAAAGCATAATTATTGCAGAATTCAATAAACTGAGACATTCAGGGGCTTATGGGGATTATGTGGAAAAATTTGAGGAATTGAGATCTTGCATGCTTCTCATGAACTCAAAGAAAGCAGAATTATTTCATAGCCCGCTTTATTAGTGGCTTAAGTGAAGAACTGCAGGCTTTTATACACATGTTTAACCCCAGCACCCTTCAACAAACCATTGAGCTAGGGAACAAGCAACTTCTAACCCTAGAGGCCATTACAAAAAAAACTCAAGGGACATCATAAACCATACAACTCCCCACAACACTCAAGCTCACCAAGAACTCACTTCAATCAGAACTATCCTACCAAAACCCCACCTGTCACAAACTCAAGGCCAAACACTAAACTCCTCACCTCAACAGAAATGGCAGCCAAGAGAGAGAAAAGACTTTGCTACAACTGTGATGAGAGATTTGTGCCTGGACATAGGTGCAAGAACAGGATAAACTACATGATCATGACAGAGGAGGAGGAATTATCCTATCTACAAACAGAAATGGAGGACACAAAAATTGGTACTGATCATGGAGTAAGCCTGGAAGAAGTGCAGATTTCCTTGAATGCACTCGTAGGAGAAGGAAGCCTCACCACACTGAGGTTTCATGGCTATGTGGGAGACAAAAAGTTACATATTCTAGTGGACACAGGTAGCACACTCAGCTTTATCAAGGACTCTACAACACAATCTCTGGGATATGAAATATTACCCACTAAACCCCTGATTGTTAAGGTGGCAAATGGGCAGAAGTTGATAAGCAACCAACATGTTAAAAATCTAGCCTGGTCAATGCAAGGTAAAAAGTTGTCTCACACATTAAGGGTGCTCAAGAGTGAAGGTAGTGACATAATTTTAGGGGGTGACTGGCTTAGGTCTACCACACCTATAGAACTTGATTATGATGCCATGACTGTCACAATTAATGTGGAGGGCAAAGGCTGAGACTACAAGCTCTAACTCATGGAGCAAAATGCCACTTGATTTCAGAACACTCTCTATTTAGCATGCTGAGTTGTGAAGATGATAATCAGATAGAAGAAATGTATTTGCTCACTGTGGAGCAGTCAAAGAGAACAAGGGGTGAGGCTCTGACCCAACTTTTATCAGAATATAAGGATGTTTTTCAAGAACCAAAAGGTCTTCCACCTGAGAGGGGGATTGAACACCAAATACTCCTCAAACCAGATTACCAGCCCAAACAGCAATACCCCTATAGGGTTTCTCATGATCAAAAGGGTATTATAGAAGACATGGTGGAAGAAATGCTTAAATCAGGAGTCATACAGAATAGCAAATCTTCTTTTGCTTCTCCAGTATTATTGGTGAAAAAAAAAAAGATCAGACTTGGAGGTTGTGTGTGGACTACAGATATTTGAATACCTTGACCATTAAACATGAGTACCCCATACCAGTTATTGAAGAATTGATGGATGAATTGTTTGGTGCAAGACACTTCTCTAAAATTGACTTAAGGTCAGACTATTTTCAAATTCTGATGAAGGAGGAACACAGGTATTTAACAGCTTTTAGAACTCTAGCCGGCACTATGAGTTCCTTGTTATGCCATTTGGGCTTTGCAATGCCCCTGCCACATTTCAATCCCTTATGAATCAGATCTTTAAAGACAACCTCAGAAAGTTTACATTGGTTTTGTTTTTATGATATTCTAGTCTATAGCAAGACTGAAGATGAACACCTTCTACACTTAAGGGCAGTCTTCCAATTATTGAGAGAAAATGCTTTGTATGCTAAACAAAGCAAGTGCAGTTTTGGAGACTCACAAGTTGAGTACTTGGGCCACATTATTTCTGCAGAAGGAGTAGCCACAGAACCAAAGAAAGTAGAAAGCATGCTGCAGTGGCCCACACCTACTACAGTGAAATAGCTTAGAGGATTTCTAGGCTTAACTGGGTACTACAGAAGATTCATCAGAAGTTATGGGAAAATCAACAAACCTCTCACAACCTTATTGAGAAAAGATCAATTCAAGTGGGGTGAAGAAGCTAACAAGGCTTTTGTGAAGTTGAAGGAAGCCATGACAACAGCACCAGTCCTGGCTTTGCCTAATTTCTCTCTACCATTTATATTAGAGACTGATGCAAGTGGATGTGGGATAGGGGCAGTGCTTATGCAAGAAGGAAAACCTATTGCTTTTCTCAGCAAGGCTTTGTGCCTTAAGAATCAGGGCTTGTCCATATATGAGAAGGAGTTTCTAGCTGTCCTACTTGCAGTCCAAAAATAGAAGCAGTATTTGCATGGTCATAAATTCTTCATTAAGACTGATCAGCAATCTCTCAAGTATTTGTTGGATCAGCAGGTGGCATCCCCTTGGCAATAGAAGGGAATCATCAACTGTTGGGTTTGGACTACGAGATCCATTATAAAAAGGGGAAGGAGAATAAAGCAGCAGATACCCTCTCTAGGGTTGCAACTGGTTCAGGGGAAACTTGTGAACAAACAGAAAGGGTGAACCAATGTGTGGAAAATTATTTGAGGTGTATGGTGCACTATTCTCCTAAGAAATGGTTTAAGTGGTTGACTATGGCTGAGTATTGGTACAATACCAACTACCACACAGCCCTTAAGTCAACCCCCTTTGAGGCCTTATATGGCTACACACCTACCTCACTATCACTTAAGGCTTACCTGGACTCTCCTAATTTCGATGCCAAGGATTTTCTCATTCAGAGGCAACTAAAGATGCAAGGACTTAAAGATAATCTTATTGCAGCACAGAACAGGATGAAAGCCTATGCTAACAAATCAAGGCTTGATGTAGAGTATGAGGTGGGGGATATGGTTTACCTCAAGCTACAGCCTTATCGCCAGAGTTCAGTGCAACTGAGGAAGAATGTTAAACTCAGCTCGAGGTTCTTTGGACCCTACAAAATCATTGAGAGAATAGGTAAGGTCGCATACAAGTTAGAACTACCAGAAGGATCAAAGGTACATCCTGTATTTCATGTTTCCTTACTGAAGAAAAAATGGGGAGAAAAGGACTTATTTGTATAGAAACTGCCGAATCCCGGGGAAGATGGCCAATTCACCGCTCACCCTACTGAAGTTCTGGAAAGGCGCATCATACAAAGGGGAAATGAGGATATGCAACAGATTCTGGTAGCTTGGGGAGAAAGAACCCTAAGTATCACTTCGTAGGAGGATGAAAAATTTTGTTCGAAAAAAATTCAAAGAATTTGATCCTTGTGGGCAAGGATCTAAAAATAGGGGAGGAAATGTCATGACCTTGGTCGAGATTGAAGGAAACGTGAGTAAAGCAGATGAACGGGAGGGCTATGGTGAAGAAGAGAAAATTTGGGAAAGTGAAGAGAAAGGGATTTGGACAAGCGATCGAGTTCTGTCTTAGTTTGACAATAAGATACCCGAGGTGACGCGTGGCGTGATCGAGACCCTTGATCTCGATATATAAAATGGTGATCAGGCGATCCACGTGGCAGCTCAAGAAGAAGTTAGATTTTGATATTAAATTGTAGGGCCTTTATGTTTTATTTCCATTTTCTCTTTTTTGTCGTTTTTGGTTAGTTGAAAATGTATGGTTTGTTATGGTGGGCCCAACTCTTTGGAATTTACTTATTGGGGAAATGCAAGTGAAAATGCATACGGTTATGCAAATTGATTCACTTTCTCTCTCATCTCTCTCTCTCTCTCTCTCTCTAAATCTTCATCTTCCTCACTATCTCTTTCAATCTTTCTTATACAAACTAGTACAGAGCTCGTGCGATACACGGGGTGCACAACTTTAAGGTCATTTATCCATTCTTATAATTGTATAAATGAATAAAAAAATGTACGGGATATATATAGTACGTGACACGTAATAGGCCAAAATGTGAACATGGATGATGCACGGGGTGCACAATTTTAAGGTCATTTATTAGTACAGAGCCCGTGCGATGCACGGGGTGCACAATTTTCTAGTATGTGTAATAAAAATACATACTGTATGCACGGGACAAAAGCACTGAATGAGTCATTTCTACAGAGCTTGTCCGTTAAGTAGCTCCTGAACACGGGTGCACAATTTGTAGTACGTACCATAAAATCAGAACAGATTTTCAAACAATTAGATAATAAATAAAGCCTTTTTATTTTAGTAAAGATTTTACGTACTTTGTTTTTTTTACTTATCGAATGTTATGGGATTTGTTTTGTTAAACCGATTTTATGGAATATAATAAAAATACAATTAGAAGATTGAACAAAATCAGAAAAGATTTTCATTCAATTAGATAATAAAAAGGAATTAGATAAGGAAAAGAAAGAATTAGATAAGGAATTTTGAATTTGACTTATTTTTTATAGATAGACTTTACGTACAAATTTTTACTTCACTGATTTTATGTGATTTATTTTGACAAAATCGATGTTAATATGGAATAAGACAAATAAATAAATTCTTTTTATTTTAGTAAAGATTTTATGTCTTTTTTTTGACTTGTCATATGTTATGGAATTTTTTTTCTTAAACTTATTTTATGGGATATAAGACAAATAAATAAAACAATTAAATAAATTTTTGGATAGAAATAGCAATACATTAATTACGTTGACTTTTCAATCTACTAAATTTGGTAAATAGGATACCTTATATAATAAGTATAGATACAAATAAATAACATGCCAAAATTTAAAGAATAATGTATTTTAATTTATTATCTAGCCATCAGTAATATCATTTAATGATGTCATCATTATCTCTTAAATGATAAATAAATTATTAATTTAAAAAAATATTTTTTATATACTCAAATAAAAATTAAAAAATACTTTCGACAAATATAAATTATAATATATATCAGTAAAACCATTGCAGAAGTTAATAAAATTATTTAAAGAAAGAATCTTTTTGATCATATTTGAATAGGAAATGCATATATACAAGCAATTAATGCATATAGTAAAAAATTTCTAAATAAAGTATGCATTAAATGTGAGTTGACTTTTTTTGCTACTATTTTTGGTAAATAGTATGGATTTTAATATAAGTATAGATTCCATAAAATCAAGTTACAGAAATCATTCAACAATTATTAAAATTACAAAAAACAATCGGATCACTACATAATGAGGTCGGCCGGTTTACTTGATTAGAGGCGCAGCTGAACCAGGCATCCCAGGCAGAGCCACCGTGCCAGAGCATGCTCTTGACGCTGAAAATCCCCTGTGCCTCCGCCTCCGACGCTGCCTCCTCCGCCTTGGCGCCGCCGTCGGTGTCGTTGAAGCTGGAGACGATCGCAAATACTTAGGTGTGCCTTGGCACACCTAGCAAGGTGTGCCAAGACTTTTTTAAAATGAACATGTGTAAACATGTTTACACATGTTCATTGTATAAAGTAACATGTTCATTTTAAACTGTCTTGGCACACCTTGCTAGGTGTGCCAAGGCACACGGTAGTAGCACTGGGAGATGATGGCCTCCTCTGCTTGTTTTTCAGTCAACATTTTTTTTTTGGGGGGTAGATCTGAAAATACAAGAAGAATAAAAATTCGATAAATTAATGAAAATTCTATATGTGAGGAGCCCGAGGAAATTCCCCAGATTCAAAGCAAAAGATATTAGCAAAACTAATCCTAAAACCTTAACAGTCACTAATCCCAAACTGCCAGATGGATAACTCACACCTGCTGCCCTCTGCTCTATTTTTATCTCTTTCCCCAACAGATTTTGTCTTGCTCCTTTTGTACGTTGCATGAGTTGTATTCATGCTAACCATTGATCCTCTTATGACCGTTGGATCATTTAGAGGAGTCTAGATTATTTGTAACCCTAGAAGGTAGCCTATTTAATGCTTGTATCAGGCTACAGTAGGTAGCAGCTTCCTCTTTAATGCATATTGAATATTGAGCTCATTGTTTTCTGCTTTGAATCATTTTCTTGCTTTCACTTTAAGATATGGCAGCAATGATATCCTTTTATGGTATCAGAGCGGGATGAGATCCTGCATCTGATTTTTTTTTCTCTTTTTTTACTGCCTTCTTTTTTTTAAAAAAAAATGGCTAGCCCTACCCCTTAGTCTACTTTTCCTCCCAACGAGCAACCATTGTTTCTGCAATCTCAGCTTATCAGTGTCAAACTCAATGACACAAATCATCTTTTGTGGAGACAACAGGTTCTCTCAGCTATCAGAGGCTATGGGCTGCAACATTTCATTGATGGATCTCAAGGACCTCCTGATGAGTATATCTCGAGCCCTTCTTCCCCAGATCTCACTGCCAACCCTTCACACTTGTTGTGGATGAGATCAATTATTGGCCTCTTGGTTGCTATCATCAGTTTCAGAAAGTGTCCTAGTTACTACTGTTGGCCTCACCACTTCAAGAGAGATCTGGAATGCCTTGAAACCACTTTTGCAAGCCAAAGCCATGCCAAAATCCTGCAATACAGGTTACAACTTCAGACCATAAAGAAAGAGTCCTTACCAATGAAGGAATATCTCAACAAGATAAAAACCTGCTGTAATTTGCTAGCTTCAGCTGGAGAGAAGGTCAGTGATAGAGATCACCTTCTCTATATCCTCTCTGGATTGCCTCAAGAGTACAACCCCGTCCTTGTCTCCCTTACTACCAGATTTCCACCATGTCAACTCATGGAAGCCTACTCCCTCCTTCTCAGCTTTGAGTCAAGGATTGAAACTATGAATCTCAGCTGCAGGTCACCTCTGATAATGGCCCATTCTCAGTCAATATGCTCACACAACATCAAGGCACTCCTCACAGCCAAGGTCGTGGCCAAAATAGAGGTAGAGGAAGAAACATGACCCAAAATCAAGGCTATAGGGGCAGAGGCAGAAGAGGAAGGGGTAGAGGCTTTGAAAATGGTAAAATCAAATGCCAGATCTGTCATTACACCAACCATACAACTGAAAAATGTTATTACCGTCAGGATCTCAACTTCAACCCCAACAACAGAAACTTTAACCAAAACAACAACTTCAGCAACATGGTTCAAATGAATGCTGATTACTCTAGCTCACATGTTTCAAGCTGGTATCCTGACTCTAGGGCTACCAATCATGTTACATATGATTTTGGTAATCTCAACAATGCAAGTGAGTATCAAGGCAGTGACAAAGTTCAAGTAGGCAATGGAGCAGGTTTGGACATCTCTCATTTTGGTAATTCTATTATTCTGTCTTCTACTCACAAATCTCTTATTCTTAAAAATTTACTTCATGTCCCAGCTATCACAAGAAATCTCATTAGTGTTAGCCAATTTTCAAAAGATAATGAAGTTTTCTTTGAGTTTCACCCCACTTCTTGTTTTGTGAAGGCTCAGTCAACCGGCCAGATTCTTCTTCAAGGCACTCTTGACCATGGTCTTTATAAGTTTCAGCTCCCCCAGACCACAACAAGTCCTATCCTCAGACAACCTTCCTTTGTTGACTCATCCAGTCCCATTTCAGTCAACTCTATTGCTGTCAAGAATAAAGTAGATTTAAATATTTGGCATTGTAGGCTTGGCCACCCCTCTTTTGACATTGTCAAAAAGGCTCTTACTCATTGTAATCTTTCCTTCAATGTGGTTAATAAAAAAGCTGTTTGTGTTCCTTGTTTACAAGCTAAATTCCATAAGTTGCCTTTTTATTCTTCTGAATTTAAGTGTGCCTTGTTTGAGCTTATCCACACAGATTTGTGGGGACCAGCACCTTTCAAATCTTTCCATGGTTTTAGGTATTATGTCAATTTTATTGATCATGCTTCTAGGTACAGTTGGCTATATCTATTAAAAAACAAGTCAGACACATACACATCATTCCTTCATTTTAAAAAGCTTGTTGAAACTCAGTATAATGCCAAAGTCAAGAGTGTCCAAAGTGATGGTGGTGGTGAGTTTATGGCTCTCTCAAAATTCTTTTCCAAAGAAGGCATTCATCACAGAATTTCTTGTCCCCACACCCCTCAACAAAATGGCCTTGCTGAAAGAAAACATAGGCACATTATAGAAGTTGGCCTCTCCCTCCTTTCTACATCACATGTTCCTAATATTCATTGGGATTCTGCCTTCATTACAGCTACATATCTCATCAACAGGACACCTTCCAAGGTCCTAAATTTTCTCTCACCATATGAAACTCTTCATGGCACAAAACCAGACTACACTTCTCTAAAAATTTTTGGATGTCAATGCTTTCCATATATGAGGCCATATAACACAAACAAGCTTCAGTTTAGGAGTACTTCAGCTACTTTTCATGGTTATCGTCCTTCTCATAAAGGCTATAAAGTTCTTCTCCCAAACAATAAAATCATCATCACAAGGCATATTCTTTTCAATGAAGCTGCTTTTCCATTTAAAAATCCTCCACCTCCCTTATCTCAACCTCTCATAGAATCCATGATACCTTTGTCTCCTCCCATTTATTCATCCTCATCCACTACTCCTCCAAGTACTCATCCCACCCCTTTACCCTCACCATCACCTCCTCCAATCCCAACTATATCACCACCTCATTCATCAACTCATCACTCCCATGGCACTACTACTACAGACTCCTCAGCCACACACTCCTCTTCAAACTCTCCATCTTCTTTGAGTGGCAGGCTGTTTATAGATTTACCTATTGAGACTTTGCCAAATGTTGATGCTACTAATGACATCTCTGAGCCTGCAGGTCATCACCACATGGTCACCAGATCCAAGGCAGGGATCTATAAACCAAAGGTTTACTCCAAAATCCTATCTGAACCAAGAAATGTGAAACAGGCCTTAGCTTCACCTGAATGGAGACATGCTATGGAATTAGAACTTCAGGCTCTTCACAAGAACAAGACTTTGTGCCTCACCACCCTTCCTCACAACAAACAACTCATCGGCTGCAAATGGGTGTTCAAAACCAAGTTAAAGTCAGATGGCTCCTTTGAAAAATACAAGGCAAGACTTGTGGCAAAAGGATTCTCTCAAACTTTTGGCTTTGATTTTACAGACACCTTTAGTGCTGTAGTCAAGCCATCTACAATCAGAGTGGTACTCTCTCTTGCCTTATCTCATAACCGGATGATCAAACAGTTAGATGTAGCAAATGCCTTTTTAAATGGGGATTTAGATGTTGATCTATATATGGCCCAGCCCCCTGGTTTTGAAATCTCAGATCCTCCTCACTTGGTTTGTAAACTCAGTAACTTGGGGATAAGACCCTTTATGGCTTAAAACAAGCCTCAAGGGCTTGGTCCTTCAAGCTGGCCACTGTCCTTCAGAAACTTGGCTTTGTCACCTCCAAGTCAGACACTTGCCTATTTTATAAGCATACAGCATCTTCTACTATCTTGGTAATGGCCTATGTAGATGACATCATAGTCACAGGTTCTTTCTCATGAAGTTGCAGCTCTCATTACTCAACTACAATGTCACTTCCCAGTTAAAGACTTAGGTGACCTTCACTATTTTCTTGGTGTGGAGTTCAGCTACAATGAAGAGGGTATGTTTCTTTCACAAGCCAAATATGTTAATGAACTCTTATCCAAAATTGGCATGCATGATGCTAAAGGCTCTCCCACTCCAATGATTTCTCATCCTCCACTTTCTAAAACGGTTGGCTCACTAATTGAGGATGTTACATTGTACAGAAGCTTAGTGGGAGGATTACAATACATTACAGTTACTAGGCCAGAAATTGCATATAGTGTCAACAAGTTAAGCCAATTCATGCATAATCCTCTTGACACACATTGGAAAGCTATGAAGAGGGTGTTTAGATATCTTGCTGGTTCTCTTCACTATGGCTTACAGCTCTTCAAACACTCCTCATCTCATCTTATGGCTCTTGCTGATGCTGATTGGGCAGCCGATCCTGATGACAGACGGTCAGTTTCAGGCTTCTGCATTTTTATGGGCAAGAACCTTATTAGTTGGAGTTCAAAGAAGCAACAATCTATTTCAAGAAGCTCCACAGAAGCTGAATACCGTAGCCTTGCTAAAGCCAATTGTGATATTATATGGCTACAGTCCCTACTTGTTGAACTTCGAATTCTGTCTAATCAAACACCCATAATTTGGGTTGATAATTTAGGGGTTGTGTCTTTGGCTCAAAATCCAGTGAATCACTCTCGCATGAAACATTTGGAGATTGACCTTAATTTTATACGTGATCAAGTTCCTCAACACAAGGTTCGAGTGCAGCATGTACCCTCCTTAGACCAGATAGCAGATATTTTCACCAAGCCGCTTTCTACCCAATTCTTCACACGTCTCAGGGCAAAATTGCATGTGGTTCCCTCAGCCGAGCTCGAATTGCGGGGGCCTATTAGCAAAACTAATCCTAAAACCTTAACAGTCACTAATCCCAAACTGCCAGATGGATAACTCACACCTGTTGCCCTCTGCTCTATTTTTATCTCCTTCCCCAACAGATTTTGTCTTGCTCCTTTTGTACGTTGCATGAGCTTTATTCATGCTAAACATTGATCCTCTTATGACCGTTGGATCATTTAGATGAGTCTAGATTATTTGTAACCCTAGAAGGTAGCATATTTAATGCTTGTATCTGGCTACAGTAGGTAGCAGCTTCCTCTTTAATGCTTATTGAATATTGAGCTCATTGTTTTCTGCTTTGAATCATTTTCTTGCTTTCACTTTAAGATATGGCAACAATGATATCCTTTTAAAAGAAACAAAAAATTAGGCCCGAAAAAACAAAACTTAAAAGAATGATGAAAATAAAAAATAAAAAAAATGCAAACTTTCACTTTCTTGAAAATACCTTACTGTTATGAGTAG